CACGGTGCGGGGCTGGTCCCAGCCTGTCCCCGGTACTGCTGAGAATGTCTTCTGACATAGACAGCAGGACAGCAGGCCTGGGAGGGAAGAGCATGCGGGGAGCGCAGCATTAGTGTGAACAACGAAGGCCAGCCTTGATTCCACAAATACTGGGTGTAAGGAGTGTAAGAACTTAAACTAGAATCGTGTCATAAATAGGTTGGCTTGAATTTTGTCCCTTAAATGTTCTCATTGGAAGGTCAAACGCGCAGGACCACTGTTGCTTTTATCGTGAAGACGATTCTTGCACAATACAAAAAGAATGACCTCTCTGTAGTACCAGAAATTGTTTTAAGCAGAGCTTCTTCCACAGCTCTCTTATTTCTTTTTTCTTTCAGGAAATTCAGTCACCATGTCGGCTGCACTGTTGCCAAAGCCCCAGATGCGGGGCCTTTTGGCCAGGAGGATGAAGTTTCACCTCATTGGGGCATTTGTGGTGTCTATGGGATCTGCAGTTTTGTACAAGGTGGGCTCTGTGGTCATTCGGTTATAAACCGGGCTCATTGGAATATTTAAAGAATTCATAATATTTTTCTGTTGAGATTGGGTTGAGCTGTTCATCAGAAAGGTTTAGTAATGTATTTTTGTAAGCATCTTTCCAAAGCACAAATAAATCTTCCTAATCTTCATTTGCAGAAATGATGTGACTAAGCTGATGTTTCATGCTGTGTGTTCAAAGTCACGCAATTCCTGACAACTGGACCTTGAGTCTCCCAAAATGCTCTTGGCCATTCACAGCTGATGCACATTAACCCAAGATCCTTTGTGCTTTGGTCTGCCACAGTTTCTGAGACTTGGGAGAGTTGTCCAAGTCTTATTTTATTTCTTGATTGACTTCAGGGAACTTGCTCTAAAGCAATTTGGAAAACTCGTCCTTCACACTGAAGATATCAGTGTGGGAAAACCTAATGTGGTCTTTCTGTGCTGCTCTGGAGGTGTTGTGTGGAAATGCAGCATTGTGTTTCCAGAAAAACACCCTTACAGGTTTGATTTCTTGATAAAGATCAGAGCAGTACTTTATTAAATAATTACTGGATCTCATACACAAAGCAATCAACACAGGGTGAATTCTTGTGGAAGGGCTGGATCTTGGTTTTCCCCTGTAACTCATGCATATATATTGGCAGCATTTGAGTGCTCAGGAAGTTGTTGACAAAAGTGACAAGAGGTGAAGTTAATTTCAGGTTTTTCACAACTTCTCAGAGCCACAAATGCCTGTCAGAAACAATGAGCTCACACATGTACTTAACACATCTGTTGAGAGGTAGACAAGCTTGTTTGTGGTCAGGCTTAGAAAATAATTTTTTAGCAGTCTCTGTGTCAGTGTCTTTTTGGCACCCCCACGTTAACACACTGGTAAGGTGGCAGACCAGACTTAGAACAGGTAACATGGATCTCAGCAGCCATTGACTTTGTTTCACATCACATGCTGTTGTACAAATCCACTTCAGAATTTTTTTCAAGCATTTGGGAGCTTTTTGAGTGTATCCCTGTCCTTCAGGTGAATGGGTGTCCAAGAAATGGGAATTGTGGCTTTTTATATTGGTGACCTGTAAGAGTGGCTTGGCAGTCTTGTAAAATTGTACCAGATGCAGTTGACTTACAGTGTAGCTCAAGTGGAGCCCTTCAGTGTAGGATGCCATTTTATCTGGAGTTTGAGTTTTGCAGAGGCACAAAACTTGCCATAATGATATGTTTTGTGTATAAATCCATTAGCAGGGAGGGTGTTGGACACTGGCATCAATACAGATGGAGTGGTTTTGGATTTTGAAAGTATGATGTGCTACCTTTTTTAAGGTTTTCATTCAGACATTTGTTCTCCTGACCAGTGATCAGGTAGCCTGACCTGTGGGTTTTAACAGGAACAAAGGAATGTTTAATATTTTGAGCTTAAGGTCTTTTAGATTAATATCTACTGATAGACATTATGGAACTAACAGAAAAAAAAATCTGTTCATAAAGCTTTGCAAACTTTCATTTTCTGTGTGTTGCTTTCCAGTTTGCAGTTGCTGAACCCAGGAAACAAGCTTATGCAGACTTCTACAGAAACTATGATCCCATGAAGGACTTTGAAGCCATGAAGGCAGCTGGTGTGCTTGAGAGCGCACCAGCCAAGAAGTGTTGGTAAGCTGCACCTGCAGGTAATGAGCCTCACTGCATTGCAACAGGAGTGACATGAGATGAGTGACATGGTGTGCTTCTCCTTGGAGGGATCTTCCTTTTTTTTTTTCAAATTGAAAGGGTTTTGCGAAGAAAAAGGATACAAATTGCACGTAAGAGACCTGGGTAATAAAAATGTGGAGAAACAGGAGAACTGGGCTCTGGGGAATAAAGGCAGGGTAGAAGCTCCTGAGTACCTTCTGTGTAATTTGTTTCAGTTGTGGGTACAGGAGACAGGGATGATGCCAGGCCTTTGCCCTCCTCACATAACCATGGAGAGGAGACAAAGCTCTAATGTTAAACTCCAAGACTTGCCTGGTTCCACAGTTATGTTCATGCTGTCACATCTTGAAGTGCTTAACTTGGGCCTGTCTGTGTCTTCTGCTTGCATACTTGTGGTGGTACACTGAGGGAGAAAATGGAGAGGCTGATTCTCTCTTGTAGCATACATCTTAATGTAAGAAACAGAGACAGCTTCTGCATATCACTTTGTATTTTGAAGTTGGTGAGAGAGGGAAACACATCTATATACACCCATAAATATATATATATATATGTATATATTAAAAATCACAATGGCATACAGCTGTGTTCTAATAATCTCATTTTTGCCATATTGTATAAAGCTTGAATAGAACTTTGTTCACAATACTCTTTTTTTTAAGTACTTGACACTGCCTTTTCTAGGAAAACTACCCAGCTTTGTTCTCCCTTGCTAGTAACACCAGGAAAAAAGTCTTGATTTCAGCTGTGTTGTGGTTATTAATAACTGCACTCACTGAGCTGCACAAGCTGATGTGACAACTCAATAGAGTTCCTCCCCCTTTCTTGGTGCAAATTTTTTACATTGAGTTCTCTGCTTCTCCTAAAATGACTTCAGACTAATCTAGAATGATAGTTTTTCATTCTTTTGGAATGTTTTCATATTGTGATCATTACGTGATAATCTGTGGCTTTAATTATCCTGGCCAGCTGGATTTTCTCAGCTTGTTTGCATGAACAATCAAGATTGAATAAAAGATTCGTACTTAACACTGTAAACACTGAATTCTGTTCTATGACAATTTAGAACTATTTGGCTTCTGCTTAGCACAATTTCTTAAAAAAGTTCAGAGCTCCATGTCTTCTAAAAAATTGTCAAAAAAGGCAAAAAGTCCCTGTGTCAGTCTCAGCTTTTGACAGTGTTTTTTTTTTTTTATTTTTTTTGTTTTTGTTTTGTGAGAGTGGGATACTGCTGTTCTTTAGCCATGACTGCAACAAATCAAAATAATGAAACTATAAATTTACCTAGTTTAAATCTTGGTAATTCTGCTTCTGATTCAGTCCTCTTATAGTCACTTTTAAACTTCTTTAGATACTGGAGTTGCATCCTTTAGTCAGGTGGCCTTCATCAGTGTATTCTGAAGGGCCATTGGTGGTAAAATAATTTCAAACAAACATTGTCAACAAGGATGCATGTTGAACATTTAATTCAAATCATGAGCAGGATTTATTTCTGTACAAATAGAGCTCCACTCTCAGCCTGTGTTCCCATTGGCAGCTTTAAAAAAAATTGCACATTGTGTGCACCTGTTAAAATGAAATGTTTCCTAAACAATTTTTCCATTTCTTAGTTGTACTGGCTCAAAAGAAAACATGGGAGAGAAATAGTCTTTTGCAATTTTGTTTGAATTGATGATGTTTCTTATTCCTTAGCCTGTTTATAAAAGAACAGATATTTTTTCACTCTTTCATAGTAGAAAGAGGTTGGGTTTTTTGTGCCTGCACATGAATACAAAAGTAGAAGAAGGGGAAAACAATGCCAGTGTTTCAAATGTTCTGTAAAGGCTGTAAAAAAAGGACAAGTACCCAGAACAGATGGAAGACATTTTTGTTTGCCTCAGAAGTTGAAATTTTAGCTATTTTGAATTTTTAGCCATTTTTTGGTGTAGTTACCTAAAGGATACAGTGATCACATGCACAGTCTGCATCTCCCAGTTTACTGCAGTATGTCCTGTACGTGGCAGTAAAACCAGTGGCTTAACCTCACTGAGCACTCTCTGTGGAACCAGTCCTTAGCCCCAGAATTGAGAGGGGGTTGGGTGGGCAGGAAGGAGTTCATTAGTTATGGTGGGAGCATGGCACTACACCAAGTTTGTTCCTGCTGGGCATGGAGGCGCCTTGGCACCTCCCTGTGAATTCACACTTCTCCATCTGCCTGGATGTCCACAGACTGGTGGTGATACTGACAGTGGAAATTGAGGTGTAAGTGTGAGGAGTATCTGGCATCTGCTGTGTGCTCAGCCATGGAATGAGCGGGGAAGCTCAGAGTTTGGTGCTAACCACTTTCAAGACTCTTGTCATGGAACACAGCTGGTCTTGGATTGTGTTCAGTATAATGGGGAGAAGCAATTTGAATTTGGTTTTCTTCCTTCCTTGGTAGGCTGCCTGCACCACTTGTTTCCTCTCTGGCTTCTCTCCGAAAGCTGCATTCCTTTCTCCTGCAGACCCTCAGCAAGACTGATTCAGTTACCAGTGCAGCATATATAGTGAATCTGATGTGCTGTGCAGTGTTGTTCCAGCTCTTGATTTGTTCCATGTTTCACTTCTGTTTGCCACATGAAGGGTGTGTGAAACTTCAAGCTCAGGAAATAACGGGGAATTCCTCTAGACTAAACTACCGCATAAACATTTCTCTGCTGCTTTGCATTTGTACATACTGATATGTTCACTTAGAGCATGAAGTTTGTCCATCATAACTTAATGGGCTTTTTTTATCTTGCAGATTCCCTTGCATTTCAAGAAGACTTGATGATTGAACCTTGTTTGTTCACTGAAGTGTAAAGTGCAATGCACCACAGTGCATGGCACGCTCTAATGCAGCTCAATAAATAAAATACATATGTCAGTGACATTTAGTTCTCTTCATTAATGTAGAAATACTTAAAGGCTCAGGTATTGGGTGGGTGGAAGGAGGGGTGGAAAGTCTTCAGAACTTGCCCAAGATGACAAAGTCTATCTTTCCTCCAGGAATTATTTGCATCTCTCTTTTGGCCAAATTTCACATTTGATAGCACAGTATATGCCTAAGCAGTGACAACTAGTTTGTCCCAGCTGTTTATGGGAATATGTGAGAGGACAGATGTTGCAGGAAGGGAGAGGATGGATTTCTGGAGGGGTCTGTGTTACCTCTGGCTTCACAAGGTGAGCTGACCTTGAGACGAAAGAATTTGGCTAGAAATTCTGGAAGTACACCAGCCAACTTTTTTGTCTTTTTCTGCTGTCATCGCTTCCTTACATCAGCAGACTGTTACAGCAAGACTTACAGACTCTGCAAGTGCCCATTCTTACACATGGTATATTAGTTACTCTAATTGGAAAATTACTCCAAACTGCAGGCATGTTCCCATCTAATTGATGTACAAGAGGGAAGGGGGTACAGGCAGACAAAGTAAATATTGTATTATGGTAATAAAAATTTTGGCGTGCTGCTTTTAGACATGTATCATCTTTTTAATATCTGGAAGTAGTCAGCTAAGCATAGTTTGGATCCCTGCTGCATTCTGTGCAGTCTGAGGCACGATGCTCTGTCTTGGGCCATGATAACCTGTCAGTGAGAACAGGCTTTGTCACTGCCTCTTGCTCAGGATAAAGAAGGTACTAGAACTGCAGCTTTTGTTTGCTAAATGTGGATACTTAAGAGAGCAGGCAAAAGCTGACTGCATGAAAGGAAGGAAGTCTTTGTATGAAGCAGCATGACAAATTAGGCCATCTGTGTTGTATTTGAAGGTCTTCGGTTCAAATCCTGTTTGGAATAACTCTTATTATTTTACATGGATCATTAACTACTTAACACTTAATAGGTATCCTTGAACAACATTTGGACTAATGAAAGCACATAAGTAATGTATGTGATCCAGAACATTTTATAGAGCACCATGGGATTTTCTTTAAACTTCCCATGCAGACAGTGCTTCCTTTAAGCAAAGAAAGAATTTGACATTAGTGATGCTGGGGAAACCATCTAGTAATCAAAATACCCCAGCTCCTATAAATGTAAACCAGAGCTTAACAATAGCAAATGATACCCATTTATCTTCCCAATGTATAGTATAAACAGTGTATGCCATTAAGTACTGACTAACATTTTCTCAGGGCTGTCTGCAGGTTTAAATAGCCAGAGGTCTTCAGTCTTACTGACAGCTTCAGAGGCAAAGCAACTTGCTACTGCCAGGTGTGCAGGTTAATAGACATGATTCCCTTGTCAGTCTAGGCCCTGTATTCCTCACAGTTGCTATGAATTAATTTACTGTTAAATTCTTAGTTTCCTTTAAACTGTTGCAGCTAGCAGCAGTTATTGCAGTCTGTGTTCCTTCAGCTACCAGCTCATGTGATTTAAAGAAATGAGAGTTTTGTGACTGAAGGCAAATTTTGACAGATACAGCAAGCCCAGGGATGTCTCTGGCTAAATGTCTTTAACAAAGCTGAGTTCTAACTTCTGTGGCTGTGCTTTGAGAGCCTGCAGGCTGCAGTTGTTGCTTTCTGGATGCAGTCTGGTTTCACACTGAATACAAGGCAAGTACTTCCCTTAAGCAGGCAATGCCAACCATCCCACAGCCTGCTTTCCTCTGGAGTAGGAAGGGAGTGCAAAGCTGGACACCTCACCTGCTTTGCTGAAATCAGCACCAACCTGCCAGGTTTCCTTTTTTTTTTTCCCTTTAATTTTTTTTTTGCTTTGCCAGCAAGAGTTCAGCTAATTCTATCATACAAAGAATTGGGAGTGGGACATAGCATAGTACAAGACCCCAATCAGTTGCTTGTTACAGGGCATTCTGTTTCTAGGAGATGCAGAGCTGAAAAACATGCTTGGCTCTCTTGGAGATTATCCCAAGTGTCTGAAGGTTTTTGCTATATTTATGTATGAAATGATATATAAAAAGGAATTATTTGACCTAAACTGCTTTGGGAAAGGTCTTGCCTGACTATGGCTTCAAATTTTTTGGCTAGCTTACATTATTCTGGAGTGTTTGAGGAGTGATTGATTGTTCTGGAAGCAAACTAAAAAGATAGATTTGAAGTTGTGAGCTCTCCAGGTCTAAAGAGCGTTATGAAAGTAGGCATGTTTTAAGAGTACACATTGCACTGCTTTAGCAGCTAAGTACAGGCAGCTGCTCTTTGGACAACTTTGTTTTCATAGTTCACACAGCTCATATGTAGGAGAAGTTGATTTATGTGCCGTCCCCGCTCGTTTCCATACATGTGGTCAGAAGGGGGAGAAAGAACCTGCCTAATGCAGTAAAGATGCAGCTCTATTCACTGAAGAAAAGTGTAATTTAAGCAAGTGTTTATTCCAGGAGAATGTAATTCAGGAAAAACACAAATGAATCTTAAAAAAAATGGCTGAAATCTACAAACTTTTAGAAATGAAACTGCTGTTCCTCATTTTATACAGGTGTGTTTGCATCCCCTTGGCTTGTCTGTGTACTCCATAAATAAGGAACAGATTAGTCTAATTGAAATGGTGAGTACAGTGCTGTTTTGATTCAGTTAGTCACAAAAGCATAAAACTTTTCAGCACACGTTTTTGGCAAGCTAGTCACCAGTTTTTACTTCCAAAGTATTGTCACGATCTATTGCATTTTCTGGTACACTACAAAGTCCAGTGACCAACTGGATCTAATGGGGCCCTCAGGAAGCTTGTACATCAGTCTTGTCATTGTGCTACACCTTGTAACCAAATGAATAAACAGCTCACAAGAACAAGTATTACAGGAATAGCTTTATTATCTTTAAACAATTTAATTATATTACAATTTATCCATCAATATGCAAAATTAGAAGTATTAAACAACTTCCATAAAATACTCAGGAATGAAGCACATGTGTGTATATACATATACATTTTTAAACAGTGTTATTTAAACAGTGACTAAGTTACTAAATCATTGGATGAAATGTTCATAATGGATGGGCTTATTTAACAGTCAGAAAAGGACAATGCAGACCCCAGCCTCCTTTATTCTCAGTAGATGAGAGACACAGCTTTTAGGAATATCTTTTAACAAAACAGAACTCAAAAAAAAAAAATTGCAGTTACTACATTCTTATTTACTGTGCATTTGGTCATATCAAGTATGCATAGAAATTATTAGCTATAAAGCATATGCTCCAAATGGTGATCACATTTTATTCCAGTTTTTGACTCCAATTCCAGCCATGTTCAGGAATCTCCAGACATAATTCATTTTGGTAAGCATATAGAAAAGGAGAGAAGAGTTAACAAGCATAGCTGGAAACCAAGTAAGCCTTTAGTTTTAAAATGAAACTGCCATAGCCAGATTTGGTGTATAAAGTCATCTAACTGTGCCCAGGGACTGATTTCTTGTCTACTACAAGAAATGCAGGTGTTTAACATACATTTGTTAGTGTATTGTGACGGCATCATTAACTGTTAATGTAGTTGGTGCCTGTGGGTCCATAGTTTTCAATCAACTTAAAAAAATCTCATTTGGCTTAGTACATATTTGAAAGGCCACATTTCTTTTATCAGTTGGAAGATGATAAGCATAAAATGAAGTAGGGCTGAAGGGAGCACATACAATGTAGTGGTGGCAGATCAGAAATGAGCAAGACCCCACAAGGTGTACTTAGCACCTGCACATCTGGGATACACTGAGCTTGGAGATTTTAAGGAGACAGCTCTGTTTCTTCAATTTTTGAACTGCATGTTAGTGGCTTGCAGTTAATGAGCAGACAACACACGGTCATACATACATTGAAAGAACTTCTGAAAATTTGATGGTGGATAAAATAAAGTTTCTGTATACAGACAGTTTTAAAAATAAAGTCATGTTGTAGTTCATGTTTCTCCAAACCACACAAAGGCACTAGTTTACATTATGGACTAATGTCCTGCAGAACTTCAGTCAAATAAAGGAAGCTATTTTAAGGTTAAAGTGGTGCTAAAACCCAGCTGTCACTAGTAACTTAAAACAGCCACACTGGGTTTAGTGGGGGAAAATGCTTTGCCTCAGGACGCACATGTTGGGGGAGTGGGGGTGTGGGGGGAAAGGCTCAGCCTTGAGCAAGTTTTTACAGCTGAGTTATAAACCTGGTTTATAACAGAAACTGGCAGACCCTAAAATAAGATATAGAGGTATTGATACACATTTCTGTGTGTGGTAAAAACATCTGTATGCACGTAATTTTCCCCCATTCTCTAATTTCTGGTTATTGAAAAGAAAAAAGATTTTGATTAAGCTGTAGTCCAAGGCTGTTCCTTCTCACTTTATTCATTTGCCAGAACACTTTCCTTCCAGCACTAGTATTTTGGCTAGGAAGCAGGAATGTTGTCAAGATTAGAAAAGCTATTGGGCTTTGTTATCAATTTCTACCTCCTCAGAAATTACATGCATCTCTGCTTGATGTAGGTTACTGCAGAGAAAGCACCGCTTTCAAACTGGTACGGCATTACTACACACACCAGAAATAACTCTTAATTAAATCCTTTCCTCAAGGCTTTATTTTTCACCATGGTGAATTTGCTAATGAACACCTGGGCAAAATTGGGATCAGCTACATACTGATAGGTCTTTGTTATAGTCAGGGGCTGCTCGGCAGCCAGGGCTGGCGGGGCGGGCGCGGCGGTGGTGCTGGGGGCGAGGTGGCAGGAGGCCTTGGTGATGTACTCCACCAGGCGGCTGTACTGCTGCTCCGACAGCCTCTCCCGGGCGCCCTCGGCCTGCAGGCAGACAGGATACAACAGTCACTGAGTGTCTGACGGCAACCGAGCTGAGCAGCAAGGACAATAATGTACACATTTCGCTGATAAAAATCTTCCTGCCTGAAATCTTAAATAGTTTAAAGGATTTTTTAAATCATGAATGTTCTCCCATAGCTGAGTCCTTGGT